TCTCTCATCGATGTTTCTAACTCTCTAACCCTCTCCCTTCCTCTCTGTAAAAAATCAATAAAATATATTTAAAAAAAATAAAAATAAAAACTGACTATGAAACTGACCTCCCTTGGCCTTTGTGAACCCCATGTTCTGGCTGCCACACCTTCTGTGTAGGTTTCCTGGCTCCTCTTCCCCCAGGCACCTCCTAATCACTGCCCCACACTCTCCTGGTCTTTTTTGGTTGCATCTAAATGCTGCCGTCTCTCCAAGGTCTTTGCCTAGTTCTGCTGGTGCATCTATCTACCTTGTATTCCCAAACCCGAATTTCATTGTTCCACATCCCAAATCAGTGTAAGCAATATGGAATTTACTATTTTTTCTCCCAAACATGCTCCCTTTCCTGCTCACCCAATCTTTGCCCGTGTAAACATTCCTAACCTCCTGGCAGAGGGTGCCACACTTGCCTGGCCTTCTCCCCACTCCTTTCTCAGTCTCTCTCATAGATTCTTTTCTGCCACTCATTCCCTGCACATGAGTGTTTGCCATGGTTCTGGCCTGGCTTCTCCTCTCTCGTCACCCCACATGGTCGCCCACGGTGAGCTTTCTCAAACCTCTATCTCCAGCCCGGACCCCCAGCTCAATGTGTCCCAAATCATATTCATCATTTCTCCCCAGTGCCCTCTTCTCACTAACCATGTTCTCCTTCTGCATTCGGTGAATGCAGGCATGTTCACCTAGCTATTCACTACCAAAATCTGGCGATTACCCTTGACCCTTGACCCTTTTTCTACATCACTTTCCACATTCAGTCAATCCTGTTGCTGCCACACCTATCACCAATGTCTTCTCTCAAGCCTTCATCATTTTCATCTAGATTTCCAAGACACCAAGACACTCATAACAGCCCATTTTGCAGAAGAAAAAACTGAAGTTTAATTTGATTAAGTAACTGTTGCTTGTGATGACACTTGTTGCTACCAGGATTTCAAATTATACCGCTTCTTTGCAACTGAGTGGTCCAGAAACCCACAGCATCACATCACCTGGGACCTTGCTAGAAATGCTGAACCTCAAGGGCCCCCAGGCCCAGTGAATCAGAATCTGCTGGGCCTGTGAAGCCCTGCTCGCGGCCAGCTGCTGAAAGACGTGCATAAGTACAGATAATTAAATCCAATGCTTGCCTCGTGCCCCTACACTAATTCCCTCTCAAATGGCCTTATTTGTGGTTTGAGGTGAGATTTTTCTCTTTTAAGACATAAGCACTTCTAATCAACGGCAATGCATCTCTCAAACACAGAGATGTGGGGAACTAGGGTCACAGCTGTGTGACCTGGAGGATAGCTACTCCCTCTGGGGTGCCAACTCCATGCCTGGCCGTGCCCTCAGCTGTTTGCTACCTGTGCTAAGAGGAAAAGGTATAAATAAAGGTATTTCAGGGAGGCTCACTAAGGTGGAGGGGAAACAGAGCCTTGTCATAGGTTTACCGCACTGCCTGGTGGCCAACTCATACTCACGTACAGTCGTGAAAACAGAAGTGGAGAATAACTAAGGCTCAAGTGCACAGGGAGTTGGCAATAGATGTAATCACAAGACCCAGGAATTCCCAGCTCTGACTCTCTGGCTCTAGCAACGGGACCACACACGTGAAATCATCTTTTGTACCGATTATTGAGTCCTCCTTTACACAAATCTTGCCCTGGGAACATTCTTCTTCATTTCTGAGGCCACGCACATAGAGGAAATCATGAATGCCACCTGGCCCGCTTGGGTAAGGGAGATTTACTGTCTGTGTTTGCCCTGACATCTATAGCCTGTGTTACTCTTCTTTGATGCCTCAGAACTATATCCAAAGGCTTCTATTGTCTTACTGCTCATATAAGGAAATCCTTATCTTGGCTTTATAATGAACACAGAAGTGGGTAAATGGCCAAATGGATGAGTCTGGGGAGAGAACCAGGAGGCTGGGGGAAATGTGAATGGATTTTCTTTTTTTTTTTTTTTTAAAGGCAGACTTAGTGAAATGTATAGCGCTGAATCCAATCCCATTAAAAGGGGTTGTAAAAAAATTAAGTTTCCATGCTGTTAAGCTGCTTTCATGTGGCAGTGGCATCTCTGCGTGTAGCGTCTATGTGTGTGATGCTTCGGTTCCACACCAGGCTGGTGCGGAGTAGACCTCAGATCCGCTGTCTCCACTCAGGGGTCTTCTGAGAGAAACACCCGCCAACTCAATCTCTCTCTGACTAAGAGACACTGGAGCCTTCAGATGGGGGAAAAGGAAAAGTTGAGCCAAGCACAGTTTCCTAAGTACCTGGGACTCCTTGTGAAGCCCTGGCCGCAGAAACCCGGCAGCGGGAACAGATGATGCTGACCTAGTTATTGCCAGAACAAAGGTAGGATTTACTTTTCTGGTGGTTGTGAATTTTCTTCTTTATTAAGGAGAGGAATTTAATGCAATTAGTTCTTAAGGAAGCCAGAGGCAGATAGCAGAGGGTGGAGCCCTGTCTTCTTTAGCCTCTATCTTCCCAGCCTGGCCCAGCCACCAGGCCCCAGCCACAACCTTCAAAACCCTTATCTGTCCACTGAAGTGGCAGACTTCTTTAACCTTTGACCTAAATTGTGTTTGAACCTTCATCTTGAGGAAGCAAAGTTTTGAACATTAAGCCACTAAAGACTTCAAAAGCCCCTGGATTTGGGTCCCGTTCTTTACCAAGCATCCCAGTAGCCTTGTCTTTGACCAGCAAACACAGTGGACCCTGCTTGTCCCAATTCTAGGAGTGATATGCTGGGTGAGGAATTCTCACCAGGAGGAGGGCATTTATTTTGCATGGTCGCTTTTTTATTTCTTATTTCTAGTCACAAAATAAATGTAAACAGAGTTTAGGAAAGACTTCCGTTTCTGCCTCCCTGAAAATGCCTACAGGTATCTTAAAAGTAAGTCATGTCAGTGTTTTAGGATCCAAATTTAGAAAGTCCAAAGTTAGAATATCTTGAAATCTTTTTTAAAAAGGTTGCATTTGAAGCAACAATGGCCATGTTAATGGACTGCCCTCTACATTCCCAATCAAACTCATGGGGGATTTGCACTTAACCATAAGCACACCCTGATGAGGATATGCCTCAAAGCGAATATGGGAAGGGCAAAGTAGATCTGAGAGGATTAGCAGTAGAATAAACCCCGGATGAAACCAAATAACCAAGGAAAAATTAGTAGAAGAATAAGAAAGGTTTTAATGTTTGTAACAGGGAAATGCCGACCTCAGTGCACTGAAAAAGGAGGGACACCCAGCTGACTTAAATCAAAGTCTAAAACTAACTTTGATTTATATTTGTATCTCTTGTAACTTGCTCTTTAAAAAAATAATTTACATTAGTTTTATTTGTCCTGTCAGTTAAAGTAACCGAGGCTGCCAAAACACTGTCATTTCTTAGAACTGATTACTTCCCCCCTCCCCATGGCTGTCATCTGGGTCTCAA